AACAACATCATGCATGCTCGATTATATATTAAACACAGACACATACATTATTAAAGTATCACATAGCATTTCAAACAAAAGAAATATACAAGATAAGATACATTAGAGTATTGACCCGTTCCTACGAGAGACTATTTTACATAAAATACAAAAAAAGTAGAAGTAAACTTAAGTTAACTACTGAAATTATGTTACAGTTAAGGTAATATTGGACAGGAATATACAAATTGGCATTCGTTGTTTTAAAAAATTAAAGCAGGTTTAGGCAGATAAAATGGCATTTCAAGACACGACAAAATAAACGTAGCTTTCTCGACGCCACTAAAAGACATGAAACCGTATACTATTTGTGTGTATTTGTTAAGGCGGTTTCTTTCATGATAGTATAAGGGGCAGTATCGTAAGACATGAGAGCAGTATATTAAACACATATTACCCACACAACGCGTCATAACCACAAGACATAAAGAGCATCAGTTCAAATAGACAGCCTTGCATGACGCCTATTATCATTCGGACACTATAGCATGATTTTGGCATGCCTCATTGGCATTGGCCTGTTACAAGATGTGTGGGGTCGGATTATTTTCGGTTAACGGAAACTACAACCTTGAAGACTGAAATTAAGATGGGCGGATCGGATGACTGGGGGTGTAGGAACAGTGGCGGGCCACCAACAGCCACGTTACACCTTGTGCAGTACAACCTGATGTGTCATGTACATACAATCTGTAACCATCCATGGTGTCTCCGTGTTCCTTGATTTGGATTCTGGTTTTATTACTTTGGCTGAAAGTAATCTAGGCGTCGACATGAGACGAGTTGAGTATTTATGCTAAACTCCTCATTGGAACAGGTGTATAGTATGTCTGGACCAGACAATTCAGTGATCGACATCCTAAGGATCGATCTACGCAATTGGGATACGATGACGGAGTACACCTACATAATCTACTGTTCATCAATGTTTTTGTTCTGTATTTGGACCCCCAGGGTCACGAAGGCCCTCCCATATCCACATGACCTAATTTGATACATCCAGTCACCCATAGCAAACCCAGATCACTTCATAACTTGTACCTCTCTTATGTGAAAATATCTTATGAGTGGAAATGCATCAGCCAAGTCAGCGATCCTGACCACCTGATCCCGTTAGATGCCGCTCACGACAAGCATGAGTTGCTGAAGATAAATCCTAACCCGGTATCCTTCATAAACAACCTGTTATTTCCATGTTATCTGTTGATGCATGCGTTGCTGTGTTTCAATATGAATAAAAGCGGAAAAATCCTTTCAATAATCATAAGAAACATCGGCTAAAAGCAGAGTCCATTGTGCGATTCCGACTATATTATAAGCATGTGTTTAAGAATGACTATCAACTTGTAATAATTTTTTAATTTGAAATTTACACGATATACGGCTTTTCCATTGGACGAGAGGTCGGTCACATGTGTAAGCCTATAAACGACACAATTTGACGTTCATACGTTTTTCACGAGACCGTGTTCTTGAAGTGACGTAAACACCTAATTAAGGAAAAGAATTTATGGATGAACAACTTCTTTATTACAATTAAGAGCGACGTTTCAGCGTAGGTTCTAACACCGTTATCAAGCAAGTGATACACAGAGTGTGGTTGATAAGTATATACCGTTATCTTTCAGGTAGCTTTTTTGCCTGACAGTTTATATTTTAGACAATATGTTTTGCAATAAATACCTTTTCAATCACCAGAAGTATTTTCAACTTTCATCGTCTGTCGTATATCTTGTACAACACTGGGTAAATTAACCGTGTCACTTGCTTTAAACGGTGTTGGAACCTACACCGAAACGTCGCCCTTTATTGTTATATAGAAGTTGTTCTTCATAAAATTCTTTTCCTTACTTAGTACTCCAACTTCTAAATGCCTATCAAAGAAGAAGACGTGAACACCGACGGAAACCCTGGGAATTCCCTAGCACGAATACATACAGAAACGATGTTTCTGTTCATTTAGACCCTTTTGTCTTGAACTTTGCAGCATACATTGAGAACACGTCAGGGGGTTTGACTGCACGATCGTTCACGAATATCCTCGCCTCGATCCATCCTCGTGAACATAACGATGCATAAATGCACATCCAAACTATCGTTGTATCGACTCGATCCATGTCTAGGTTGACAGTCTACAGCAATCTATGTATTTAACTTTGTGTATTTGCCATCGTTTATCACCTTTCAATGATCGGCTAATTGCTGTCAGTGTAAACATGAAGTCTCACGTACTAAATAAAATTGTGTATAGATCTAGGCCGACATCCTTTGAGGTAAAATATTGTGATAAAAAATTCTAAGAATTGACTTTCACTGTGTGTGAGTTCATTGGAGTATGAACCTTCATAGAGTGAGGGCCAAACTGTATGAACATCGCCGATAGCTTTGACGTTCATACAGTTTGGCCCTCACTCTATGAAGGTTCATACTCCAATGAACTCACACAAAGTGAAAGTTCTTAATCATACCAGGTGTTCGCGAAAATATGAGCGTGTCCTGCCTCATCGGGGGCACCAGTCACAAACACATGCAAAGGCAAGTCAACTATTCACCTGTAACATCCCGCGAGAATAGGATACAATTGAACGCTGCAACATGACGGCGTCCTAACCTTTCGAGGAAACGAGATACGACGACAATGTTGGTGAAACCGACGACTACGGTTCTGACTGATTTTCGGATTGATTCGAACTATACACATTCTAACTGATATATGTTAACTGGAAAAAATACATTATGAGTTATTGATTATTATAGCACGCGAGTACCTTAGCTGACAATCACAAAATTACCGGAAATCATCGGGGTAATATTTTCGGCATGCATTTTCGATTGGCTGATTTTCAAAAAAGTCAATGATAACAGGCGATGTGAAGTATTTATCTAAAGAACAGCCCATATTTCGTGCTTTTAATAATCTCTTCCAAAGTACTTTAAGGTCAAGCATAACGTGAAACCCGTTAAACAGAAACTACACGCACACTAGGGCGAACAATAGACAGTTGACGGTCCTCGTTTAAAACAATTTATATATCATTCATAAGTCGAATGTCATCCAGTTAACCCGAGGCATTGCACTCGTGTCGTCTTATCACACGAACTGCATCAACAATTACTGTAACGTCAGGATTTATAAGAAAAAAAGAGAATTGTTAGTGTTTTTGAACAAACAAAAAAGAATTCCCGCATTTAGCTCTCACACGTTCAGGTGAGGTGAGGTGAAATGGGGTTTAACGTCGCGTCCAAGATTATTTCACTTATATAGCGACGTGCATGCACGTGTGTGTGTGTGGCTACTTGTACTAGACCGGACTGATGCCGATTTTATAGTTCTAGCTCACTGAGATACCATGCTGCAGTTTAACATGAATACCCCACTCAGACTCAGTATACTGACTCCGAGCCGGCCAGTCCTTGTTTTAGCCCCTTAATACCGAGCACCAGACAGGGTAACAACAAGTACCATCTTTTAACGTCTTTTGGTATGACGCGGCCGGGGATCGAACTCCGCTCTCCGGGCGGACGCTCTACCACTAGACCACGGAGGCGGTCCACACGTTCAGGTATCACGATGATGGGTCCAAATAGTACTCAGTGTTGTCTTCAAATCATCAGCAGAGGTCAAGTTAGTACACGTTCGGAGGGGGCCATTGTCACAGTTCATATCAACTTCGTATATCGAAATCGTATTATTCTCCTTTTTCAACTGAGTTTTCTAAAGGGCAAGCTTGGCATTTGATGGATGATGTGGTTCTGAACGTGCGCGTGAGGAAAACAATGTATTTTGATAACGCAGGTAAATCAGTGAAAGGCACCCACTTAACTCACCTCGGTGATATCGCTGTGTTTGGGTGTCAGGGAGTGCGAGATTCTTGAGATAGTATTGTCAGGGTTAATGAGAACATGCACGTACAGTTTTGACAGTACCAAAAGCACAAACGGGCGAAATGGTAAGCTTTTTATTCTGGACGAAAACAGTGAATCCTCGTTTGACCGAAACCTATTAATTCGGAAAATCCTTCCGGACGAATACCGCTGGATCGCTTACACACAGCGACATTACTCTGTAAATAGGATTCGCGTTAATCCGGAAAGCAGTTAGTCTGGACATTCGTTAAACCGGACGATTGTCCAACCGGACCAACAGTGTCCCTCTGTCGTAATTACTCAGTACAGTGTTATGCGCCCTTGTTAACCATGGGCTGGACTGGTAAAGACGTGGAATATAGTTACCAGGTTGAGCAGTCGACACATGTTTGATGGCGGCCTCTCTGCATCAACTGACGTCAGTTTATGAGCTACCTTTTCAAGTTCATTTTTTAACAGCTGCCAAACATTTCCAGTGATGTGTAAGACAAGACTTTGAGATAAATTTCGATTTCACGTGCCCCATGTAAACCCGTGGAAATCTACGACTATTTCCAAGGTTACCAACAAGACATCCGACGGCTAGGTATTATGTGAAGTCTGATCGACGAGAATATGTCTCAATGTATGCTTGAAGTAACATATATAGAATAGTTGAAACCAGGCTTCCACGGAACAATTGTTTAAAATTATATGACTTTCTGAAATAACGATTCTGTAAAGTATTAAAAATATTCCTAATGTAACAGTAGTAATCAATTTCTAAAATAACAATTTTACAAAGTACATGTATAATAATTACACTTAATGTAGCATTATATTAATCGATTAATACACTTGCGGGGTATTTGGGGTATTCATTATTGTAACAGAAATCGCAAAAAAATTGCTATGAGACCTAAGCTCTAGACAATGCCCTGGCACAATAAATGTTAAATAAATGAGATCTGTTCACAATGCCCCAAATCAATACTGTCTTTTAACTACATTGATCATACGTTTTCTCATGCGATTAGCATGCATGGCGAGTTGATCGAAATAAGCGGAAGTGCTCAGGGGAAATTGGTAGCATGTGCGCTGATTGGCTGACATACCTGAAACTCCAATCCGTGGCGTTCCCTGCAGTATTCCTTTAGTTTGGGGTAGACCCTCTCCATCAAGGTATTGCGTTCAAGCGTGGTGTCTAGAAGGAATTATTAAAAACATTCAGTATTTCTATTCAAACATGATTTATAAAAATATAATCTGCCGTATCGTGTATATGTTTTTGAAAAATAATCAAACATGAAATATTTAGTTCAGAAATTCATCGAAAGGATTTTTCTGTAGAGACTGGTTTTGAGTTTACGTGACAACGACGCAGTGCGTGGAGGGGACAAATGGCAGTGTACGTGCGGGACCTACCACAAAGCTACCACCGGAAGCCGACGTTTAAAGAGCTAATATATTATGCATCACATTCTTCGAGACACGATACTTTCCTCAGCGCATTAATATAAATGGTTGTGCGATGCATGGATAAAACGGTTGCATAAGTCTATGTTATCTGTTCGATCCCCGACCACGTCATACTAAATGACGTTAAAATGTGGTACTTGTTGTTACCCTGCCTGGCGCTCGCCATTATCGGGATAAAACAAGGACTGGTCGGCCCGGAATCAGTATCCTGTGTCTGGGTGGGATATCCATGTTAAAGTGTAGCATGGTATCTCCCTGGCCAAGCACAATAAAACAAGCATTAATTCCGGACAAGTACAATACGACATACGCACACGCATGCACACGCACGCAAGTGCACACACACACACACACACACACACACTCACACACACACACACTCACACACACACTCACACAGTATGCATGCGCGTCGCTAAATAACTGCAATTACTCTGACCGCGGAGTTAAACCCCATTTCCCCTGTATTTTGGTTGTAACTGGGTAGGCTCAGTCAACTGACTGCGTGTCGAGAAGGGAAGCTGGCGTATGACAAACCAGCACCACGGGTGGCGTCACAACTATGTCCGTCTCCTCTGAACTTTGTCAATTGTATAAGCCGCAGTCAGCAATATTCCAGCTACATTACGGCGGCTATCGGATGCTCCTCTCTTCCATTGTTAAAATATATTTGTAGCGTTCCTTGACTATACTATCGCGCTCCCTCGCGATAATGGCCCGTTCCGTAAGTGGCTATGTCTGTTGCCAGAAAGAGTCCTCACTCACTCACTCACTCACTCACTTCGGTTTTTCATCTAAATCCAGACCAATGTTGTACCCTTCAGATTTACACTTAAAAAAAAAAAGAAACGCACAGGTATAGTTTTAGTAAATTTATTGTACCTAATAAAGTCGATATATTTAATTTTATATCATATATACAAATATGAAGCTCAATATTCACATGCTGTCGTTGTACAAAGGCATTGAAAACTGTTCATTGTCATGTCACATAAGGCCACAAGGTTGCGCTGTACTCAGTATCTCGTGTGACCGCCCCGGGCAGCAATCACGGCATCTCATCGGCACAGACTGGATAAGTGTACGAATTCTGTCCTGCGGAATTCTGCTTGTAACACGTTGGACAGTTGTGGAAGTGTCTGCGGCGTGTTCTGACGTTGACGTACACGTCGATCGAGTTCATCCCAGGGGTGTTCGATTGGGTTGAGATCTGGAGATCTTTACGGCCAGGGCAAGTCGTTGATGTTGATTTATGAAGGTGGAACGTTGTCCTATTGAAACAGCTCCCTCTGGCGGTCAATGATTTGAAGAAGGTGAGGTTGAAGAATTTGATTCGTGTAGCGATTTGCTGCCAAATTTCCCTGAACCAAAACCAAGTCAGATCTCCAGGTCTAAGGTATGGCCCCCAAAACCATGACACTACCGCCCTCGAATTTGTCGAATTCACTTACACAATGTGGGGCAAAACGCTCATTTCGACGACGATAAACACGTTGTCTTCTATCTCGTCCGTGAAGAAAAAATCGTGATTCATCGCTAAACCACATTCGTCTCCAGTTTCTCAAATTCCAATGCTGTAAGGTATGGCACCAACGCAAGCGTCGCTGTCGATGGATCTGTTGCAAACCAAGGACGATAACCGGTCTTCTGGGTCGGGTTCCAGCCTCGCTAAGATGGTTCCTGACAGTCTGGTCTGATATCATCCTCAAACCAAGGATGCGTCCTGCAGTCTCCGCAGCTGTGGCATTGCGATGACGTAGGTGGAACAGTCGAATGTAGCGATCCTGTGCAGGGGTTGTAACTCTTGGTCGGCCGGTTCTCGGACGGTCTATAGTGGAATTGAAGTGGCGTGCAACAGAATACAGCTATTCCCCTCTTGGATACGTCATCTGGCGATGTTCCGATCGGCAGCGCTAAGTCTCGGCATGTTCGAACTTGAAAAATGTTGACAATTGAATGACAAAATAATGGCTTATGCTTGCCTTTTTATAGCCAAGCGAGTGACGAATGCCATAATTGCACGTGCATTTTGCTTTACTGTTTTCCTCCATGACATTTTTGAACAAGTGTGAAAACAACGCCGTTTAAGACATTGCAAATCGACAACGGCTGCGTTTTTGACGCACCGTTTGTCAAATATCAGGCCACCAACATTTTCCAATAACATATATTCAATTTATATACCGGATTTTTTGTGTAGTCAGGTTCTATGATCTACATACTACCTGTGCGTTTCTTTTTTTGAAGAGTGTATATATTTAATTTACGTCTATGAATAATTAATTAGTTATTATTAAAAAGTGGCATCTAATTTATTCGGATGGGTCGTGTTCACAAATATTACCTCACTCACTTAGTCACTCACTCACTCCGTTAAATCTATGTCCAGAGCTTTTGTGTAAATGTTTCGAGCTATCGGGACAAGCTGGGCACAAAACACAATAATTCGTCTTATCGGATATATCGAGACAACCGACTTTGATGATAAACAAAGATTTGTTTGTTTGTTTGACGCCTCACACAGCAATTGTCCAGATGTATGACTGCGGCCTGTAAGTAAATCGAATTTGGTCCAGACAACCCAGTGATTCATCTTGTAATCAACGACCCACACCGTCAGGGTATGATGACACGCTGTCGACCAAGTCCCCGAGTCTGACCCCCTGATCCATTTGCTAGCCCCTCACGACAGCATGATCGCTGGGACCTCTTCTAACCCGGAACCCCCACGGTGTGATAGCGAGTTCGTGACGTCACGAGGTTTCGTCGAAGTCTTAAAAACTCTTTATAAATCAGAATCCTACTGGACAATTATTTTAAGTGAGTGAGTGAGTGCGTGAGTGAGTTAGTGAGTGAGTATGGTTTTATGCCGCTTTTAGCAATATTCCAGCAATTTCAACGCGGGGGACACCAGAAATGGGCTTCACACATTGTACCCATGTCGGGAATCGAACCCAGGTCTTCGGCGTGACGAGTGAACGCTTTAACCACTAGGCTACCCGACCGCCCCTACTTTAAGTGAGAGCGGGGTGGGCTTTGTGCGGCTTTAACCAGTATTTCAACTATTTTAGGGCAGTTGTTTTGAGGTAGAAACCTATTTACTAGTCCAACCAAGAAATAAGGCAATATTGATTATCATAACCGCATCAAGTCTAAGATTCGAACCCTCTGTACATTAGTTTGTGGTCACAGATATACCATTGACCCAATTTAAGCGCAAATAAACCACTCAAAAGAAGTAAGAGAACAGCCGACTCTTTCATATTGCTATAGTTCGCATGTGATGACAGATTAACTATAGTAATATGAACGAGAAAAGGGTGTTCTTTATCTTCTTTTCAGTACTACAGTAAAGTACGTTTATAATGAACATGCTTATGACGAACTGACAGATATAACGAACTGTTTTTGTCCCTGCCATCTCCTGTATATATGATACATACATGCTTATAACGAACTACGATTACATCGGACTAAAATTGTTGGTCTCTTTGAGTTCGTTATAACCGTAGTTTACTGGGTGGTCGGGCCCGTGACTTGGTTGAGTGCTTGTCATCGATCCACGACGGCGCGGTAGTTGCTCATAGTATCGACCATTGGTTTGTCTCATCCAGACTCTGTTTTTACCATCCCGTTGAGATACAGGTCGAATATTGCTGATGCGGCGTTAAACAACAAACAAACAAATGCAATCAGCGTCTCTCTGTGTGTATTCACATGCCTCCGCGTATCTGTTGTCAGGTTGGCAACAAATCTAGATTAGCCAGACTGGGTCAAGTAACGGATATATTGACCGCATTGTTGCCACGATGACGACGGGAGACTACACGATAATGGCCTTCTTGCAGACGTTCCCGCCAGTCAGGGACTACAGAATCACTCATGGTAAGATTGCCCGGTACAGATAGTGAACTTTCCACTGCGGTAGTGGGTGATCGTCCAACAAGACAGAATGTGAAGCTAGTTAGTGTAAAGCAACACGCAGTCCAGTCGGTCAAGATGGAGATCACGCAGAGAAATCCCGAGAACACCCGAGTTACTAAGTCTTCACCAGGAACGCTCCATAGTTCGAACTGAAAACATGTGGCGATGAAAGTGACCTATATTCTGTATGAATACCTCTAAAATACGACTGGCTCAGAAAATGTGCAAATATTTCAATCAGGTCAAGGGACCAACGCTGGTTCGTCTGTTAACATTTATTATCTGGTGTAATTATACGAGGAACAATATCAAGGGAATATACAAGGGAATCCTGTCTTTTCAGTTATAAGAATGAAATTTCCTCCATTGCAGCACGAAAATGCGTCCAGAAAAAAAAACCTTGTTCGCGATAGGTGTGATTGAACCATCACAGGAGGCATTTGTCAGACGCTTTGGTAAATTTGAAAGTGTGATATCCCGACTGATGGAAAGCTATTACATGAAGCAAACGGGTGGGGTTAAGATTATGGTGGGTAGAAGAAGACCTTGGAAGACTACTCCCAGGCAGGATCGATATGAACGCACCATTGCGTTGAAGAACAGATGTATTTCTGCTCCAGGGACAACTTCAGGGTTGCCATAGGAATCCGACTTTTGACGTCAACGATCCGAAACAGGTTGAATCAAGACGTCCTTCCAGAGGAATGCGCCTGACTGTGGCACAAAAGCGCCTCAGACAACAGTGGGAACGGCCGTTTGGAGGTCGTCAACAGCGGCATTGGAGATACACCATATTTTCTG